TGGTCCCACATATTTAAGCCGTTAAAAAAATAATGCATGATGGATTTTTATACCCTTTCTTCTCACATACTTGTCCACAACAAAGTTCTTAAAAATCTCAAAATGAGGGGCCAAAAGTTAAAGAGAAGAAAATGAACTCAATAGTCCAACTTCTGTTGCCCACAACTTTAAGGTCCTGTTTCGCATAACTGAATCTTCTGAATCCTAAGCTCACGTTGTGGAATAAATATCATAGGACTCTGTGGTTATTGGTTGCAATTATTTCCTTCTGTGTCTTTGGACATGCTGGCAAACCGAATCAACAAAGCGGTTTTTCTTATTCCAGTTGATTGATTTTTCCATGAATAAGAATCAAAAGTTACTAGCTTTAGTTAATTGCAAGAAGGGACACCAGTGGCATATTTACTCATTCCATAAAACTGAAAGATGTTATGAAAATTCATTCCTCAGAGAAGGAAAGCAACACTGTCAAAGCTTCTAGGTTTACAAACCCACATCTTGTGGGGTTTGGTAGCCTATGAGAAAGCAAAACCCAACCTTTATTCATAAAAGTTAAAAAGCATTCCACTGGGAAGCTATTCCCTGGGCTAGCCTACGATGGACAGCTAAAGAACATAGAAGGGTATCAAGGTTTTTGCCTCTTTACTAAGACAAACTGGACCTTATATAAAAAAACAATAAAAATGATTATCACTCATCTCAATCAAAATTTACGATTGAAATATTTTACAGACTGCCGATGGATAACTGTGATTGTGTACACTGACACAAGACATATTAAAAGAATCATAGTTCTTTGAATAGATAAGCAATGAAAAGTATATCTTGCCTTAAGATCAAACGCAAATGGTTGCTGCCCAAAGTTAACGTGTACCCTGCAGATTAAAATTAAGCACACATCTGATAACATGAGAATAAGAATCTGTACCATCTGAAGCTGACATGTACATGCACAAGCAATTGACTAATTACAAAAGATGAACAGAAGAGCTAAAATATTAGAAAAAAGATACTACATACTCCTCATTTTGGCTGTGTACAGCAATGGTAGGAAATAAGGGGCCCTTCATATCCTTGGGCACTGTTCCCACCACAGCACCATTTTTACTGGCACCAACATGAATGAAACAAAATCACATAAAACACCACTCTAGTCTCAAGAGAAGAAAAACCAAACAAAGTAGACAAGTCTTACGTGAAAAAGAATTCCTGTGAATCATAATTGATGCCACCTCCAACTATATCACCAGAGGTGTAGGTTGGGCCGAACGCCTCTCCCCTTCCATGTCCCCGATAAAGTAGCCCATCATCGCCATGATAGCCACAACTATTTGCCTCCCATCTGCTTCATGGAGGAAATAATTAACACAAATATCATGACTAGAATAACAGAATTTGCCAATTCAAATAGTAGTTTTCAAATCTCACAAAGAGTGTAAAACACAACACAACATGCAGAAAACAAAATGCTTCCTCTTTTGGTTTATCCTTCATTTCTACCCTTGGGTCCTCCCCGAAAAAATAAAATTAAGACAGGGAAGATCAAAAATTTACACCAACCCACTAAAACCTTTTCACCACTGCCTGTTTATCATGTATTGCCCACAGAGGAGAAATAAACTCCCAATTCACAAAAGTTCTGTGGTTCTCAACTTCTACTGTGAGGCTTTGTATCGTTTTTTCACCATTTGGCAGCTGTTCACAGGTATACAATTATTAATCCAATTAAGAACAGACAATTCACATTTCACACAATCAAAGGTCAGAAACAATTGTGCAAGCGAAAACTCGTCAACGATCACTTATCTGCCAGTAAGCCCTATTCACATTGACCTTCAACTAACTAACCTAACTAAATAGAACCAACATAACCAAAATAAGATTGTATCCCATAACTTCATAAGAAAATCTTTACCTTGCAAATTCCCAGTTGCAGATTAAAACAAAATATCACTTTAATTTCCTATTTCGATTCTTTCGGATCCTATCCAGTTTCACAAACACCAAGAAATGCAACAACTTGAATCCACCAAGAAATGCACCAACTTGAATCCACAACAAAACCCCAATACATCCGTTTGTACAATTTTATACACTTCCAAATTCCTTAAATTACCCCCCCCCCCTAACACCTGTTACAGTTAATTTTCATTCATTTTCGGAGAAACCGAACAGACCCAATAAAACAACAGGGCTCACCCGGGCTGCCTCCGCATCTTGAAGCTCTCAGAAGTAAATCCAATGGCAATCTGACCCTTGGTCCCGGCATCCTTGACATAAATCTCAAAGTAGTAGACCAGCCGCTTGACCGGCGCCGGCTTGTTAGCCTGAACCATGCCGACGTCGTGGCCGTGAAGATTGACGTTGGTGTACTTGGCAGAGAGCTTATCTGGGGACACGACGAGGAAGCCGCCGGAGCTGTTGATGGTGTTGAGCTCCGTGGGGGCATCCTCGTCCTCGTCCATGTTGGTCAGGCCCCGAGCAGAGCGGAGCCGCGATTGCTCGAGGAACGACAAACCGAGGTCTCGGTCGCCGGCGTGGTTGTTTGTACCATTGTTGGAGTTGGTGGTGCTCATTGTTTGAATCTGAAACCCTGGAATTCAGCAATCATTTGGTGGAAAACGAAGAAACCTAAACCCTTTTCGTCGATTTGGGGACTTAGGAGGGAGGAGAGCAAGAGCAATGGGAATGATCTGTTACGGCACGCAGACGGAAAGAATCAAGATTTTTTTTTTTCCATGTTTTGTTCGTTCTATTTTTTTCTAAAGTTTTATTGTTTAAGAAAACTAGGTCCCACAAACTTACATCTTGGGTTTAGAGAAATGGTAAGGATACTCTCGTACGTACTCTTCATAGACTCTCTGATACCTTACAGTTACAGTTTTAATATTAATTTTCATATCAATATTATAAAATATTGTACTAAAAACATAAGGTGGCAGAGAGTTCACATCCCACTTTTGTGTGAGTCTCCTTAAAATTTCTCTCAATTTAAAATATTTGGTAAATCATATGATGTGATTATTAATGATTGGATACTTACTTAAGTGTTGACCAACATATTTATTTCGTATCAGTAACACATCACATGATTTGTAAATCTAACGACAAGCTGAGTCCCACACAAATATTTTTTCTACATAGGGCCAAAAAGTTCTCCTTGCCCATTTAAAAAGTAAACTAATAATAGAAAGAATGTCGCGCTCCATACATCCATTTTTTTTTTCACATTTTTTAATTTTAATCGTCAGATTAGATGATTAAATAAGATATCAAAGGTCTCTTCTCTTCATCATTTAGATTAATTTAGTGTAACTAAATTAATTATTTGTCAAATAATATTCATGAGTTTACGTAAATAAATCAATAACTAAAATGATACAATTCTGTTTCCAAATAAATAAACATGCCATTATATATTAGATCCGATTATAAACCATTTTATTTTGAGTTTAGATCTTCTTTTTATTCGAAGAGGTTTTTTTTTTTTTTAAACAAACGATATTATCTACATTAAAGAATAAAAAGTATACATAGTCTCACAATATGTTAGCAATAACGTAATTCAAATTCATTTTTTACAAGAATAAGATCTTTTCAATTACAAATGTTTTTCACATCTTTGTAGAATAATTTACATTCAATTGCGTCCAAGAGTATACAAACGAAGTTGAGGTGTCATTATCAATATTATACCATTAAATACACGTGATCGTGCATTTGATTTCTAACACAGAACAATGGAAACAAATATCTCAAATTCTCTAGTAATAAAATACAAAGTTATTTAAAAGTTTTACGTGTCAAATCAAACATGCAAAACTTCAAATTTGGCTTGTTTGTTAAAAGAACCAGACTTGTCTTGACTCGAATCTATACGATCTGAGCTCGAGTGAACTACAGACGAGTTATTCAAACTCGAAATGACCTCGAGTTACTATTAGATGTATGTGTTAAAATATTTTACATCAGATGAAAAAATAAAAGTTTAAATATCATAACTTCATTTTAATTATACTGATGCCTTGACCCTTGTGTGATAAAACATTACATTTGTCTGTATGTGCAGGTTGTAATTAACGAGTTATAGACAATATCGATGTTGTTGGAAGTGAGCTTTTAGCTGAGTGCTCTCTTATGGATCACCCACGTATGATTCACTAATTGGATCCCACGTGAGGATGCGTGTTAAAATATACCACATTGGTAGAATGAGGGAAAAAAAAAGAATTTAATATCCAACTGCACTCCAACTGATACGAATCATTTTTGTGATGAAACCCCACATATGATGGCATACATGGACGGAGGGAGGTAAGGCCCAGTGAGGGCACATGCCCCCTCTCATCCCATTTTTTTCTACATTACAAATTATTCAATTAATCATTTCCATTTTTTTTGCTTTGCAAATTATTCAATTAATCATAGTAAAATAGTGAAAATCCTCTTTTAGTTTTTAAATGCACCTCCCTCCTTAATATTTTTCTCACGCACTAATGTTTAAACCTTGTTGAGTTGCATGTATTTAGTTAATTAATACAAATGAGCATTAGATTATCAACAATTAAAGACAAAATTAGATAATAGAGTAATAAAATTAGGCATTTTGTAATTAATTTTTTCAGCATTTGTAAAAGAAATAGCTTTATTTGTCCAAAAAATGAGCTCAAATTTTTTAAGGTGCCCCTCTTAGTTAAATTTTTGGCTTTGTCCCTGACGGCATATGCAGGTGGTAATTAACAAGTTAAGAACAATATTAATATTGTTGGAAGTAAACTTTGACTCGTCTCTCTGATAGTTTGACAGGGTGTGATTCAACTAATTTGAGCTAAAAGTCCAACATGGTGGCTAACCTTAGACTTGGAGCATTATCACTACTCCATTACTTAGAACAAGATTAATTATCAAAACAATATTTGTTTACTGAAAGTTGATCTTTGACCGTCTCCTTGATAATTTGACATTATATAATTCACCGAATTTCAGTTTAGAGTCCAAAATGGTGGCTAACCCAAGACTTGAGCATTATCACTACCTCCATTACTTAGAACAAGATTACCAATCCATTCCATTCCATCAATCCCAGATTAAGCCAACCAGCCAAACAAGAGATTAGACCGTAAGCCATGAACAATACTAAGCATCACTTCCTCCTCATATCATGCCCTTCCCAAGGCCACGTCAACCCCACTCTCCAGCTCGCCAAGCTTCTTATACAAACCCGTGGAGGGACACGTGTCACTTACGCCACCACCGACCGCGGCCTCACCCAAATCAAATCCTTCCCTTCCCTCCAAGGCTTATCATTCGCTACTTTCTCCGACGGGTTCGATGACGGCGTCGAACCGACCCACGACCTGGACCTCATCATGTCCAAGATTAAGCGCGTGGGATCACGCACCCTAACCGCCCTGATTCAAAAATTGTCTGCCTCCTCCGACGGCGGCGACGGCGAGCCTGTTACTTTCCTCATCTACGCCGTCCTCCTCCCTTGGGCCGCTCAAGTGGCAGCTGATCTCGGCATACCCTCCGCTTTCTTCTGTATACAGTCCACCACTTCCTTTGCACTTTGCCACCATTACTTGACTTACTTTCACAAGTGCTGTTCATTTCCAAGCTCCATAACAATTGATGGGTTGCCCCCCTTTGCCCCCCAAGAACTGCCTTCCTACCTCCTCCCAAGCAGCCCACATGCTTCGATCGTCCCTACCTTTCAGGCACACATCCAGGCCCTCGAACAGGTCAATGTCAAACCCTACCCCAATTTCGTGCTGCTCAACACTTTCGATGCCTTGGAAGAGACGGCATTGGAAGCGATCCGATCACACATGAAGAATGCGAATGTGGTTCCGGTTGCGGTTGGCCCATTGGTTTCGAGTTCCAGTGATGCCGATTTTCGCTGTGACTTGTTTGACAAGTCTGGGGACGACGATTACCTACAATGGCTTGATGCCAAACCAGATTGCTCTGTTGTTTATGTGTCATTTGGGAGCATGGTGGTGTTGAAGAGGGATCAAATTGAAGAGATGATGAATGGACTGGTCGACAGCGGACTCCAGTTTTTATGGGTTATTCGCACTTCGGAGAATGGAGATGATCGGAGCATGACGATGATGATAGAGGAGAGATTAAAGAGTAAGGAGCAGGGGTTAGTGGTGCCGTGGTGTTCGCAGGTGGAGGTGTTGGGGCACAAGTCAGTCGGGTGTTTTGTGACGCATTGTGGGTGGAATTCGACGTTGGAGAGCTTGGTAGCTGGGGTTCCAATGGTGGGTTGCCCACAATTTTCAGACCAGAACACAAATGCGAAACTGGTGGAGGAGGTGTGGGGGACTGGACTGAGAGCCAAATCGAATCACGAGGGAGTGACTGAAGGTGGAGAGATCAAGAGGTGCCTGGAGATTGTGATGAGAGGTGAAGAGATCAAACGGAATTGTCAAAAATGGAAAGGCTTGGCTAATGAGGCTCTCAATGCAGATAACTACAATCTCAGGCACTTCATTGCAGGGTTGGGATGAAATAAAACTCCAATCCTATGGGCGGGCGCGCCAGAGGCGGTTGAGGCAGCGTGCACACACGCTTGCACCTATTCGACTTTCTTTCTACTCTACTCTTTTCTTTTGTTTTTGCTAAATATCTTCATCCGAGCGTGTAATCTCTAATTTCCTTAAAAACTTCTTAGGATGAAATGGGTCAGATATATTACATGTATGAAGTATTCTACATTTACGCAATCTACAAATGTCATCGACCCTTTATACACTGCACAAAACTTACACTAGCGGGAATCATCATATCACAAAATCTCTATATACATATTGAGAATACTAAATTCACTAATCCACCTAGCGCTAGCTAGCAACTTTTTTAAACCAAGTACGCAGAAGCAGCTCTTACCACATTTGCTGATTTCTTTCTTAACATACATTTCCAAGCATATTTCCTCTTCTCCCACCTTGCTGCTCTCTTTTTTTTATACATCATCCCTCGATACTTTTGTAGATCCTTCAACCAACTAGAATAATCCCTCCCAGGTTCGCACGCAATGAAGTCCGCTAACTCCTCTATCTCAGATTCCTGGGATCTTCCTAGTAAGAGATTGAGAAAAACCTTCCCGTTGCAGGTTTCCTCTGTTTTCTCTTCAATGCCATCACTAGATTCCGTTGTGCACCTCATGATGCATGCATTTTCCGTAGTTTCTGCTACCTCGCTCTGTGATCTCCGATGGGAGTTTGTGAGAGAAACTTTGCTGTAAAATGAGGGAAGATTGATTTAATTGAAGAGAAGAGATAACCAACATCAGACAAAAGTACTTGATTGAATTGAATTGAATTTATTCAAGTGATTGCAAGAAGTCTGTCAATATATAAAGCTAAATCTATCGAATCCTCCTTTTCTTTATCGAAAGCAGAATGTTTTATGATCAGATGCAGCATTTTTCTTTTACTGGATTACTGGAGATCTATAGCATGAAATTCCTTGCCTCCAAGGACTACCAATATTATGGTTCACTAAATGTCAGAAATCAATGGCCAGAGAATATCATAGCTAAAATCTAAAAAAAAATATAAGAACCTGCTCAGCTAGCCGCTACTGAAATCTAATGACGGCTACATTATGATCTCGTTATATTTTTCTGGTTTAAATTGAGAAGAGTCGAGCATATTTACAGTCAACTAGATGCGACCCACCCAAATTTCTGTTTGATTTGGCGAGAAAATATTTGTATGGCAGAAATATTTTGTCGCTGGTGTTAAAAAACTTAATACAGAACTATGCTATATGGTGCACAATATTATTTTGTACCTCAAGTGAAGTGTTTGAATTTTCTGAAATTTCGATGCAACTCTTCTGGTAGATTTCTTTTTCGCCAAGCCCTGCATAGTGTAACATATGTCATTTTTAAATGTACATAATAAGTTCAAAGAATTAAAACATTTATCATTTTTTGTCTTACCAGTATCGAGAATGAAACAAAAACACATCAATTAAACTCGAAAAGGTCATAAAAGAAAAACAAAGCTCACCCCTGTAATCTTGTCTGAAGGCAATCCAGATGAAGAAGTTCGTGAGCCAGAGAGTAGAAGTGAGCTGAGTGCAACCATATCACCATCTTCGTAAACATATAGATTTAATAGTGACATGATTGTAGATATGCAGCCCTTAACTAAGAAATCAATCCCACTACCAAAACCCAAGGACAGCAAGCCTGAAAAGTGCAGAAGCATCCACTTGGAAGCCTTATGCATCGACGGGTGGGTGTTCATCATGTCTAATAAGAACTTTTGATTAGGTAGAGACACATTGAACTGGTGAAAACAGCCAATGACACCCACTATGAAATCATATTCCTTTGAAGAAGCGTCTTTTAAGGTTTTTGGAGAGCCCAAATGCCCACCATGCCTTAGACACCAAATAGCTTTCAACAACGAAGTACTCATTAACTTCAATATGGAAGCAAGAAGATAAATATCTTGGGGACTCGTATCCCCTTTTCTATACAGCACACTATCACCAACACCACAAGAAAAACTTCCATGTATTATGCTTCGCAAGACGGACACTATATCATCTTTACATGATTCATCAAAAACATGTTGGCTCTCATTTATGTATGCAACAGCAGAATCCATCAGGTCAGATTTTGTTCCACAGAACATATCGCGCAAATACGAGTCCCATAACGAATCAGAATGGGTAACTAGATCACACATTTTATCTCTCGTAACTTGTTGAATATACGATTCAAATGAAGGTTGACAACTTCTCCCTAGCATACGTGAACCGGTAGAAGAAGAAGAAGAACATTTAACACCCAAACGATGGAAATCCATAAGTGAACTAGACATGTGGCTGGTATATAAAAGGACAGACCTTTCAAATGCTGTTAGGTAGCAGTCCATAAGTCTAAGATCTGGTCTAGCATTCAAAGACATGTCTACATCAATAGATTCAGAAACCAATAAAAACAAATGTGTCTGCAACATTTTGGGTGCTGACAGCATGATGGGGTTGAGAAGCAATATCACTGTAGCTTTCAGGCTCAGTTCGGGAACTCTACAATGCTTCCCGAAATCACAGAATAATCTTTTGAGGAAGTTCCTATATGCTCGCTTTCCATAAACTGACAAGATAAAATGGGCAGAAATCACCTCCAGAACACTTCCAATATCACCTTTGACAGCGTGGCACCGAAACAGCATTTCAGTTGTGCATGAAGAAGAATCAACAAGAATAAAGTACTCTCTCAGCAATCTACACATTACAAGTTCATCTGCAAATATCTAAATACAATTATGCTACCATCAGTTGTGTATAGATGCAATAACTCTTACAAAAGTACTTATTTTAGAATGGCGTGAGAACTTCACATGGAAGAATGACACAAAGGATATTTGAAATGGAATTCTTCTTGAACTGCCAAAAAAAAAAAATATATATATATATATATACAGCTGACGATTGCAAGATTGTCCCCAAAGTATTCAATATGTTTATTCATATCCTGATCTTGTAAATATATAACATTGGTAATTTGGTAAATTTATATTGTACTTACTATCTAATAGCAATCAATATCATATTAAGTAAAACAAAATAGAAGGAAGACGAAACAGAGAAATTCATATCCAACAAACAAGTTATAATGTGTTACTATGTATACTTTCAAGACCAGTATGAGAAGAAATGCAAACACCACCATATCATATCACTGTATGGGTTGAAAGCATAGCTGACATTCCAATAGCTCTAAAGGTTAAAAGTTATTGAATGTTTACCTCGAGCACGGCAGATAGTGCAGGACACCATGGATCAGAAACCTCTATCAAACATAAGGAAGAAACAAAATCTTCGGAAACAGTAGTAGAAGAACCAACAGCATCAGTGAACGTGCATCTGGAAGAAACAAACTTCTGAAAGGTGACAGAGTTGTTTTTCTCATCTCCTCCGCTTGTAACCAAAGAAATCAATTTCCGTAGTACAGAGAGAAGAAATTGGGTTTTCTCCACTAGGATAGTAGGGTCAGCCAAGGTCAAGACTAGGATGCAACATCTCAGAAGCAGCGGTAGTTCATCAGGAGCGGCCGACATATCTGTGTGGGAATCAACGTGCCTCGGTCCCCTTGTTGCAGATACATCACATAAAGCGGAAAAGAACAGTTTAAACCTCCTATCTAGCTCTTTGTACAAAACATAAATGAGACATTGTATATCTCCAAGTTTCACTTCAACCCCGCCATTATTGAGAGCACCTTCAAAGTTCGAAAAGTGCATTGTTTCATTTCGCGACAGCGGGGCAAGTAGAAAGCACAATCTTTTCAAAAGAGGCATCTTCAGACCCTGAAATTGAACACGCTAAGAATCAATCAACGCGTTTATCTACATAAATATAAGTTCCTATGTCCACAAATGACACAAACATCCATCAATGTTCTACAACAAAGCAACACTGAGGCTACACCCGTTTCGGCGGAAATGAATTTCCCAATTTCCTTCTCAATCCTCTTACAATTCGCCTCTGATTCTACAAAATTATGACCCTGGACAGTCTCTATCCAAACAAAACCATAAATGCAGAAGTGACAGGTGAGCCATACGACCTAAAAGAGAATATGAAACAACAATGCAATGTAAGATGGAGATGGAGTACCTCAGGGGATTGAATTGCAGAGATTAGGGTTTGGAAGTTGAGAGGGGGAGTGTGATTGGGAGTTGGGGCTTCTTCCATTGCAGGGCTGCGGCGCTTTCTGTGCCTCTTGCTCTTCGAACCCATCTCTACGTTCTGCAGAAACGCACGGAATCTCAGAAATTATCGGCTTTCGCTTACAAATGGGCGCCAAACCGACACCACTTTCGGAAGACTAAATATGAAAACCTAAGAATTCGATAGTTCAAAAAGCCTTATATTTTTTCCCGCACCCTATTAATTTCAGCCATTTGATTTACTTTTATTTTATTCAATCAAACAATTAAAAATACTTGTAAGAAAATCTCCAACCTTTGAATTAAAATATAAAATTTTTAAATACAAAAAATTTAAGTTTTAACAAGAAATAATTTTTCTTCTCCAACTTTTTTTATTAAAGTTTTCTTCTTAACGTCGTCCGATCAAAAAAGAGTCATTGGGATTGCACATGGGTGGTCGATAATCCCAACAAGTTGGGCCCACTTCTGCACAGCAAGGTCCTCTTGGACCTGGCTTCTCTGCCCTCCCACTTCCCATACACTCTCATCCCCTCCTATTTGTGCGGTTACGGTTAAGTCACGTCAACATTTTATATTACTATTGTTTTTTGTCTTATTATCTCTATAAAAAAATCAATATAAAATGTTAGCGTGGCTTAACCGTGACCATACAAAATAAGAAGGGATGAGAGTGTATAGGAAGTGGGAGGTGGAGAAATCGGGTCTGGTCCCCTTTGCCTTGCTTTTGGCTCGTTCTATTGCGTTCGGAGCATAGCTTTTCATTTGCTTCCTATTTTCTCGCGCGTTCACGCGTAGGCTGTGCCCCAGGCCATTCACTTCGGTCGGTTTCTTCGCTTAAATTTGCCCCAAAAATCAGTTTAACCCAATACTGATTTTTGGTCTAAGGTTGGAGCGAGTTAGGGAGAGATTTAGAACTTAAATTTTAGGTTCTAACCCAAGGGTTATAGTTAGTCTAAGGAAGAAAATAGGGTTCTCTAAACTTATCGATAACTAATAGCAAGTCCAGCGTTTGTAGTAGCCCGATGGACTGACTGCTTTTTCTATCCAATTGCCCTAGCTCCTTGCTCCAGCCCATGCGGGCGATTGGGTTGAGGGGGGCCCGAGTGAGAGGGCGAGCTCGAATCGCATACCCGAGTGCATTAGGCCTAGCTGATGCAAGGCTGATGTCATCCTAACGTCAACCACATTATAAAATTAATGAAAAGGTAAAAAAATTTAATAAATTAATAAAAAAGTAAAAAAAGCAATAAAAATGTAAAAAAAATTTTAAAAAGTAAACAATTAATAAAAAATCCGAAAAAAAAATTAACAATTAAAAAACATTTTAATTTTTCTATAAATATCTTATCATTATCTTCCACATTACACCACAATTTTATATTTTCTCAAATACTTTGGGTTGTAATTTCTTATTTAATGAAACGTGGTACAACGAGACCGATTAAAAATCATATCCGAAATTTGAAATAAAAATATTTTTTTATTATTTTATAAAATAAAAATACTAATATTTTATTGCATATTGCCATGTGTCACAACCCGTCCCAAATATTTAATTCTGACAATGTGAATTGACTATGATACCCTTGAACGTGAGTGTTGTGGTTGTATTATGCATGATAGGGGTGGTTCAAACTTGCATTTCTCCTTAATCTTTGGACAAAAATTGGACTAAGTTTATGTGGTTTTGATTAGTGAACCACGTGGACCACTCACACACACACACCATTCCTCTCTCTTCTCTCCCGTGCTCTATCCTCTCTCGGACTCATTCTCTCTCCTTCCCTCATGTACGAACAACATCAAATTCAAAAGAAAACTTGCAGATCGAAGGTTTAAAGGACACCATTGTGTTCCTGAGGTCCATATGAGTTGAATGGTACCATTTCTAGGTAAAGACTCCTTCAAAAACCCTAGTTTCCTCGATCTCTGATTATGGAATTATTCATGCAAACATAAAATCTTATGTTTTTGGGAATTTGGAGCTTATAGGTAGCTTAAGGAGGTCCTCACGAGGCTAGGAGTGGTTCGTTGGAAGAAATTGAACGTTGGAATAGCAAGAACGGCAAGTTGCAGGATTTGGTTAGAATATCGAGGAGTTTTCCAGCGAATCTCGTGGGATTTAGGTCCTAAAACTTGTATGGGTTTTTTCTAATTGTTCTAAGCTTCATTTTGACATAAAATTCGTGAAATTTGGTTGAATATCGAGTGAGATATCAAGGTTGCAAGTTTTGCCCAGTTTCCGACGCCGGCGACGGTGGCCTGAGGTTTGAGGTTAGGAATGACGGAATATTCCATCAACTTTGACGGAATATTCCACGGCGTCAGTTAACTTTAACGGTTTCTGTTACTATTTAAAGGAATATTCCTAATGGCGTCACTGTTGCCGTTGCTGTGCCAGGCACGTGCCCGCGCATGGGCGGCGCGTCTGGCCGTGCCTTAGTCGGCGCGTGGCGGCGCGTGGGTGGTCAGAAAATTATTATAAAAATATAGGGATGTTCGTGGAGTTGTGTAGATCACATTGGTATATTCAAACACCCAATTTGAGCATTGTATGAGAAGTTATTAGCTAGTTTTACCTATGTGGTTTAAATAACGTTTTTATAGTTAATACGCATATAGGTGAGACTTATCCCGAGGACGAGCGCGTTCAAGGGCGACTCGAGGGCTACGACCCTTCGACATACTAGTGAATGGGCTTTTGGTTTTTAGTATATATTAATATACTTGATATTTTCCCATAAAATATGTTTAAATAAGAGTATGCCTTGAATGCCATGCATATAAATTTATAATTCGTATATGAATTGATATATGATGCATTATATATATAATTGTGGTGCTGCGGATGCTCAGGTAAGCTCAGGTGAGTTATGTTTGGTTATGTGAATTATCGATGATGTGATATGTGACTGAATAACGTTGAGCTCATAAAACTGCACCTAGGGTGATAGTGATTTAGCCAGAGATATGGCACATGCCTGTATAAAATGTCATCTCCAGCACCATATGCTCATATTGGATCCAACTTAGGTGCACAGTCTTGTCGTACAGACCTTTACTATGGTTCTGACTTGTAGGTGATCGGTGCTTTATCGCCCATTTATTATGTAAGAGTAGTATTGAGCATAATTATATTACACCCAGTATTGTCGTACAAACCTTTTCATTTGGTTCTGACTCTTGTGCAGTATAATGCCGTATAGGTCATTGTATTGACTTCGGCTAGATATTTATTCGTATAGTTCTTATCCTTAATGCTTCCGCACTGTGCACATGGCTACGTCACCCTCAAGTGACGGCTAGCATGCCTTGATCTCGGTCGGGGTGTGTCACCATGGCTATTCAGTTTAGGGGTGGAGATGCAAAAGGCAATTAATGTTCATTAAAGGCAATTACTATTCATTGGAGGGGATTCAATAGGCAATTGCCCTGGGGGGCCTTTCCTACACTGGAGCTGCTCTAAAAATACAAAAAAGTTGTCGCTTAGTATTGTGATCTAGTGGTAGTCGTAGCTGAAATGCCTTGTGTTCGAATCTGGTAAATGATGAGTTCGAATCATGACTCGTTTGGAAGTTCTTTTAAAATGACTAAAAGCCGCTTTTAGAGAAAATATTTTTGGGTTTCAATTCCAAAAGCACTTGAAGTGCTTCTTGCAACAAACACTTCAAGTATTTTATCAGGATTCACTTGTATTTTTATAAAAGATTGGTTCAAAAAATATTTTCATTAAAAGCATTTTCAATCATTTTAAAAGCCCTTACAAACGAGCCCTCAATTTATTTCTCCACCCTTTAGTGTAAATAGATATTTATATGAAAAAATAGTAATAAGATAATTATTACAACGTTAATGATTTTTTCACATCTCTTTTCCTTTGTGTATATCTCACTTTATTTTTGACATTTTGTGGAAATAAATTCAAATTATAGAAATAGAACAATGAACTTACACGCATCAACCTAAAATCTTATTCTAATAAGTGGACAAAGAGCCTTTTCTACTTACAAAATATAAGAATTTTATCTTACTTTGTTTATGTTATTTAATAAACTGTGGCAATACAAATTATCATGTACTAATATAAATTTTATGTGATTTCTTATAGTTGAAATAACATCCACATCACCAATATTTTCAACATCTTCCTTCATTTTTTATACAGTAATTTGTATTCATAACCTCTAATAAAGAGATGAATGCTTTTAGGGAGAACTAATGAAAGTATTTTACATAACTTTTTTTTTTGTTTTGAAAAACACCTAGACAACTTTTTGTTTTTTAAAGACATTTGTGTGCATTACAAGAACAAAAAACAAAACAAAAAAATCACACTTTGTGAAGGTTTTGAATTAAAAAAACTATCCTTAATAATAATAAAAATGTCCTTAATAATGATAAAGAAAATTGTTTAAAAATTTATGATAAAAAAAGTTTTCCGAGAAATTTTTATAATTTTTTAAATATTTTTAACTGAGTTACATCTCTCACGAAGCTACTTTCATTGGATGATTTTATATTTAGAGGCAGAAGATTATCATAATTTTTCTTTCACAAAAACAATTATTATACTTGAAAAAAATATATTTAGGTTTTTAAAGCGTAAACTTGTGACGTGGGTAGGAAACTGCAAAATCAAAGCAGCAAGAGCATAAACAGGGTTTAGGCAATTTGGCGGCTATCTTCAGTCTTGCCTAGGGTCTTAGCTTCAAATTCTCACTCTGGTTTCTCTCCTTCCCCAATTTATACAAAATTAGGGTTTATGATTCTGTAAAATTCAGAGCAGGTCCGTATTACGATGAAGGTGAAAGTAATATCTCGATCAGCAGATGAATTCACCAAAGAACGAAGCCAAGACCTCCAGGTGAATTTTTCTCCTCTCTCCTCGGAGCTTTTCGTTCCTCTTTCTTTCTCTAAATTCTGATGCTAGGGTTTCTGGTTCGATCTCCGCAGAGGGTATTCCGTAATTTTGACCCCAGCATCCGAACCCAAGAGAAAGCTGTCGAGTATGTCCGTGCACAAAATGCCGCAAAATTAGACAAGGTATGATTTGGGATTGATTTCAATTGCGTTTTGAAATTTTGGATTTCGGACTGCATTGGATAATTGTGCATTTACGTTTGTTTGAATTTTGTTTTTATTTTTTGTGGGTAATTTAGATTTTTGCGGGGCCGTTTGTTGGAGCAATGGAGGGACATATCGATTCCATTTCCTGCATGGCAAAGAATCCAAACCACTTGACAGGAATATTTTCTGGTTCAATGGATGGAGGTACTTTGTTCCTCTCAAATTTTGGAATTCCTTTTCGTATTTATTCCTAGCTATTTATGTGGACATCTGTTTAGAGATTTTGATAGATTCTGAAAGACTTCAAACCAATTTTCTTTTTATTCAGATAATTTTTTATTTACATAAACGCAATACCACCCCCACTTCCTTCAAATCACTTTCTTTTATAGTTTTTATTGAAATAACAATCTTCTTTTAACCAAAAAAAGAAAAACATTCGCTGATAAAGAAAAATTAATCACCTTTCCAAGGCTATTGTGGTTAAGTGATTGCAATAAAAGGCCAGGTCTAGGGTACGAAAAGTGGGGCTGGTGAAGATTGAAGATACAATAGAAGAAGAGGGATAAGAGAGATAAGAGGGAATGGGTTGGGTAAAGTTGGCATGGAGAGAGAAAGTAGCTTGAAATGAAATCCTATGAGTGGAGTTGGGATTCTTATAGCCTTTTTTATGCTTATCTTATGCTCTCAAATCCTACAAAATATTTCATTCAATGAAATCCTTGAAAATCTGTGACTTTTTTAACACCTATAGATTTGTATGAATTGTTAGAAGTGTTTAAAATCTTAATTGACTACTTTTGCATTTGGATGAACTCTTTAAGGGGGGGTGTATTCAATTGAGAATGTGAGAGATTTTAATGGATTTATAAATCCATGGATTTTTATGGAGTTTAATTGATTTGTAGAGATTCCATATAAAATTTTGATTCAATTCCCTTGAAATCTCATGGGAAGAGGTGAGATTTGTGGATACTTAAAATACACTTATGAAATCTCTCCAATTCCCTCTAATTCCTCAACTTTCTCAAATTCTTTAAAATCAATTTCTAATTGAATACACCTGGAATGTTATAAACTTCTTTAAAATCTTAATTGAATACACCTGGATTTCTAAGGATTTTAATAAACTATTTTAAAATTCTAATTGAATACACCTAGAATTTCAGAGAATCCCTTAAAATCCTGATTGAATACCCCTAGATTCATTAAAAGAATTAAAATCCCTTAAAATCCCAATTGAATACACCCCCTAAAAGTATTTTAAAATCTTGGTTGACTACTCTGTGAGTTTAAAATCTTTTAAAATCCTATCAAATCTTAATTTGAGTACACCCCTAAGATTTACATGCATTCTAACAAAATCATTTAAAATCCTAATTGACTACACCAAGATTTTGAAAGACTTTAAAATCTTGGTGCGGTCAATTAGGATTTGAAAAGACTCTTTTTAGAATGGAGGTGTAGTCAAATTAGCATTTTAAAAGACTTTAAAATATTGGTGTAATCAACTAGGATTTTAAATGACCTTTTTAGAATGCATGTAATTCTTAGTGTAGTAAATTGAGATTTGGATAGACATTTTTAGAGTGCTTGTTATCTAGGTGTAATAAAAAAAAATTCAAAGATTTGGTAGTATACAATTAAGATGTGGATTTTGTTGATTTGAGAGCATGAAGTACATATAACAAAAACCAAAAAGAATCCCATCTCACCCCAAGGATTTCATTTCAAGATTATGTTCTTCGATCTCTCTCTCCCTTGCCACCCATGCCCAACCCCATATGCCACTCCGCTAGCGGGCAACTCTCTCTCCCACAGTTGACAGATACGAAGTACTATTCGAGTATGCGGCCCGGTTTGGGTACGGAATTCACTAGTAGCTGATAGTACTGTTTGCTAGAGAGTAGACATAGATAGTACAATATTCAGTTTGATTCGTTCTAAATTCATTAAAGAATGTAATTGGTTTGATTATTTTTCTTTTACAATTAAATTTTGTAGTTATTACTTATTTTAAGCAATTATTGTGTTTTATACAGTTGCTTATTTGTGTGCATTCTAAGAATGTGTTTGGTGGTTTTAATATGTTTAACATGTATCTAAATAAAACAAAAAAAAAAAAATGGTTAGGGACATGCAAACAACAACAACAAAGCATTTTCCCACTAAGTAGGGTCAACTATATGAATCCTAGAACGCCATTGCGCTCGGTTCTGTGTCACATCTTCCGTTAGATCCAAGTACTCTAAGTCTTTTCTTAGAGTCTCTTCCAAAGTCTTCCTCTATCCTTTCGGCCCTGAACCTCTATCCCGTAATCTCATCTTCTAACCAGAGTGTCACTAGGCCTTCGTTTCACATGTCCAAACCACTGTAACCGATTTTCTCTCATATTTCCTTCAATTTTGGCTACTCCTACTTTACCCCGGATATGTAAGAAAATAGATGGTTTAATATGGTTGAGTACATGCATCGAAATAAAAACAAACAGATAACTAGGATCATTAGGGATATGCGTTACAAAATACATATAACCTAAGAAACAAATATAAGTATAATTTTGTGCACAGTTTTTTAGAAATCATTAAAGTACAAAAAATCCATAGCAAAACCTCACAAAAAAAATTATTTTAACATAGTTTAAGCAAAAGTAGAAAAGAAATATCACAACTACCCCAACATAATATCAACTCCATTTCATCCAATGAGAATGAGGAAGATGATTGTATTTAAGTGCAATAATCAAATGAAATATTCACGAGTCAACCTCAATCATTCAGAAGGACTCTGTCGTAAGCTTTGTTGCTTGAAAATGTTAGAACATGGGTGAAATTGCTACTGGTAAGTAAAGTTATTTTAGAGAAGTCGGGTGACAAAGCAGTGAAGATGCAATCATTGCAAGAAGTCATACAAATATCCGAATACTTGTATCAGTTATCATTTACTAGGTACTAATATTATATTATAAGACATATTTTTTTATTAATTTTGTTTTTTTATTAAATTTGTATATTATTATTATATTATAAACAATTAATAAAAAAATTACTAATAATTTTTATAACATAACTATACCTATTAGATGATAACTAGTGCGAGGAGTAGAATATTTGTATGGCTTCTTGTAATGATTGCACTTCCACTACTTTGTCCCTCCCGAATTATCTAAAGTAACATCACTTACTATTAGTGGTTTCACCCTGTTTTGAAATTTTTGGGCCATGAAGCTTGCGACAGAGTCCTTTTGGATGATTAGGTGACAAAGTCCTTTTGGATAATTAGGTTGACTCGTATATATTTCATTTGATTGTGGCACTTCAATACAATCATATTCTTTGTTCTCATTGGATGAGATTGAATTGATATCATGCCTAGGGAAATGTGGTTATTCTCTCCTTTTGCCGAAAACTATCTTAAAATATTTTTTTTTCTTGAGGTTTAACTATGGATTTTTTGCAATTGGATGATTTATGAACAATAACCGTGCACAAACACAAATTTATACCTATATTTGTTTTTTACGTTACATTTATTTTGTAACGCATATCCGTAAGGATCCTAATGATCTGTTTGTTTTTATTTCGATGTGTGTACCCAATTATATTAAACCATTTGTTTTCTTACATGTATTTTGTAAGGCTTATCCCTAACTGTTATTTTTGTTTTTATTTTGATGCATGTGGATCATATTAAAATCATTAAACACCTTATTAGAATGCACACAAATAATAGCTTACAACAAGAATGTATAATTATAAGTATTTTTATAATTAAAACAATTTACATTTTTTAATTCGTAGTGTTTGTCTACTCTCTGGCGAATGGTACTATGGGTTACTAGCGAATTCCGTACCCAAGCCGCGAACTAGAACCGTACTCTGTATCCGGCAACTATGGGCCGTTGACTTCTCTAGGTGTTAATGTATTTTAAAGTATACCTTGAATTGATTTACTCCAAACTGTAATCTTGTGGCTTGATTTAACTGCAATGTTTGTTGCATCATTCACAATCAGGAGTGTTTTATTATCCATATTCAAATTTGTGGATCTACTTGCCTTATTCCTTATATTAAGTTTGGTATTTGCTAAATATAATACGGTACTAAACTTTCAGAGTTTGAATATGTTTTAGTTTCTTGATTCATATTAGTATTCACGTGTATTTTTTTTTTTTGGCAGAAATTCGGCTCTGGAATTTAGCTTCCAGGTAATCAGTCTTTATGGTTTTCTCATGTCGAGTATTATATGAAGTGATTGAGACTTGGACCAGGTGTCCCTGGTTTTGAATCATTGTATATATATATATATATATATAAATTAGATCCTTTCGTTATTTTCGTACTTCATAAACAATTGAAATTATTATATTTGCTATAATTATTGAACCAAAAAAAGGCGGACAGTTTGTCGGTTTCCTGGTCACAAAGGTGTCCAAGGTTTAACAGTATCTACAGATGGGTGCGTTCTTGTTTCTTGTGGAACTGATAGCACGTAAGTCATAACCTCCTGGGTTTATACCCTTGTCCCCTCTACAAACTTAAGTTCTTGTACCATTAATGAAGATTTGTCCATGATGGACTCACTATCTTCCCTTTTCAGTGTTAGGCTCTGGGGTGTACCTGTTTCTAATCTCCTGGAGGAAGATGTCTCATCTGATAAATCTGCTGAGGTATTGCCTTCCTAATACTGTCATGTGTCTTTCCAATAAATGAGTTGTCCACATTATACCTACATAACTAGTTATACACCGCGGGAAACTTATGTTTGGAAGAACGTGTTTCGGTAAGTTTCTAATTGAATTTTTAGAGACGACACTTATTAGTTGATCTTACAAATTGATTGATATGTCCTATGATTGTCAAAGTTCCTAATATTTAGGTTTACATTCTCATTTGAAGGTCTGTTGATCACCAGTGGAATTCTGATCGGTTTGCTACGGATGGAGCTGGAGTAGATATATGGAACCACAACAGGTTTTGATCTGGCCTAGTTATTCTTCTATCAAGTAAAGAAAACTATAATTTATATCCCTCATAAGTGGATAAATATTTTTTATTGTTTATTTATTTTGATGCATAGGTCTGCACCAGAGCAGAGTTACCAATGGGGCACAGACACAGTTGTATCTGTTCGATTTAATCCTGGAGAGCCAGATATCTTGGCAACATCTGCAAGGTATGTTTTGATGCTCATAGATAAGATATGTATAACAATACTAGTAATAAAAACTTGTACAGTAAACAGATTAGATACAATGTGCTTGCTCATTCTGGTTTTTGGTTCCGGATACCTTGTTTTCTAATTTAGTATTCTGTTACATTTGTTTTATTTAATAAGAATGGAACTAATAAAAACTATCTTGGGAAAACAAATGCATTCGTGTCAAAGAAATTCTGTAATTATTGTCTGTTACAACAGCATAATTTTTTTTGTTTTTTTATTTGTTCATACTGCAATGATTTTATTCATCTTTCCATATTGTTTGCTTCGTTTCTAACAAATTATATAGTATCGTATTTTAGGATAGAAAGTAATATATGATTTCTGTTGCAGCGATCGTAGCATAGCACTATATGACCTGCGCATGGGAAAACCAACATCAAAGTTTATAATGAGGGTATTGATACCAAATCATCTCTGTCTAGTTCATCCCTTTAATTTATTTACAGTTTTGATTTTAAACTTATGAGAGCTTAGAAAATAGCAATATTTGTTGCTGTCTCTTAATGGTATTTCTAACTTGCATTTGATTTTGACAGACGAGAACCAATTCCATTTGTTGGAACCCAATGGAGCCAATCAACTTCACTGCTGTAAGGATGTAAATTAAGAATTTTTTATTTGTAATCTTTGTAGTACATAAGGGATTTGCTCCGGGCTATCTCTGTGCATCCTTTTCATTGTTTTAGGATGTTTAACCATCACATATAAGCCTGAGAGTTGAGTTCCGGAATAAAACTTTAACTCTACCGAATGCAACTTGGTAATATGATAATAATGATTTGGTCGTTGGAGCAAATTCCTCTTTGTAAAAAATCTTGTAATCAATGTAAGTAAATTTTTTTTACTTATGTTTGTTACCCTTACCAGTGGTTTTAGAGACGCCAATGCTCAAATATGTTGGCTTTCTTCTTCTTCGTGTAGCATTTCTTATTCTATTCTGTGAAGGTGCTAATCTAATTCCTCAATTATAGGCAAATGAGGATTCCAACTGTTATAGCTTTGATTGTAGAAAGTTTGGTGAAGCTACGTGTGTTCACATGGATCATGTTTCTGCACTGTAAGTTGATAATTTTGCAATTGGAATATTCAGTGTGTAAAGTTTAGTATTGTGTACCAAAGTTCCATTCTTTTGTTTCTCAGGAGGATATTGATTATTCTCCAACTGGTCGAGAATTTGTCACTGGGTCTTATGATAGAACTGTGAGTTCCCTTTTGCATATGATTAAACTCCATTTCATCTTTGTTTGTGTAAATATAGCCTTAGTCCTCTTAAAAAAATTCCTTTGCAGGCGATGATTTTCCCGTATAATGCTGGTCACAAACGGGAGATATATCATACGAAGAGAATGCAAAGGTTTGGCTTTCATGCATTCCTTCCCTTATTTGGTTGCTCATATTTGTTGAACATATGTTATTAGCTTTCATATGCCAATCACAGCACTATAACTTTATGTTGATCAACTTAGATATTCTGACTCTTTTGTTTCCCTCGTCCTGCTTTTTATGTAGGGTGTTTTGTGTCAAGTACAGCTGCGATGGTAGTTATGTTATTTCCGGGAGTGATGACACTAATCTTAGGCTTTGGAAGTCTAAAGCATCGGAACAATTGGGAGTTGTAAGAAATCTCTTCTTTACCTCATGTTTTTGTTGCCTTAGGATTACAGCACGGTTTTTACCTTGGTACTCGGGAGTTATTCTTCCATTACCTGTATCTGATATGCACTCATTATATCCTTGTATATTACATTACACCTGACAGAGCTTTTTTGAGCATTTTTTTTATTTTGTTGGGTAACCTTTTTTCTCTTAGAAAAGAAAGAATGCATAAATTGGTTTGACCACAGAATTTTGTTCTTACCATGCACGCTATCACCATCACCAAACAGGCATGAAACTCACAGATATAAACTTTTAATTATCGTCATCCAGCTTCTTCCAAGGGAACAGAAAAAGCATGAGTATCATGAGGCTGTCAAAAACCGCTACAAGCACCTTCCCGAAGTCAAGCGTATTGTGAGGTATAAAAGGATGATGCCTGCTGTTATTCGTTATTTCTTATTAAAATAATGAATTGTATTTGAAATGTAAAATGGTTTAATCATTTTTAGCCTCTGTTTCTCATCTATCTGTTGTTCTGAATGGTGATTGTGTAGGCACAGGCACCTACCAAAACCAATATACAAGGCAGGTAAGCAAATTCGTGAACAAAATGAATCTCAGAGAAAGAAGCACGAGAAGAGGAAGGCCCGCAGTGCCCCAGGAAGCATCGTTCAAGAGCCATTACGTAGAAGAAAAATCATCAAAGTCGAGTGAAGAGTGTGGGTTAATGTTGGCATATTTGTGAGCTCTATACTACCAGTGCCTTCACAGTTGAAGCATTCCTCACCATGGACCTTGGTGCGGTGTCTATAGTGGCTTTAACGAACGATAGTTTATAGAGGTTGGTTCGAGTAACAACGCTATGTCAAAGTTTAGTTAAATTCAATTTCATAGAGGAATATTGTGTTTCGCTTGGTTGGTGGCCTTGTGAAATGTTTCATGTGGAAATGTTCAGCTCCCGATCTCAATGTTGTTCGGAATTTTTGATGAATAGTGTTTCGGAATGTTCAGAATGTTTATACATTTCATAACAAAGCATGTTGTCAATCTTAACTCAGATTTGAATTGAAATGTAGTCATAGTTTGATTAGTTAAAGGAGTAATATTCTCTCTCCTTCCATCTACTCTCACCTCCCTATATTTTTTTCTGCAGTGAAGTCAACATAAGATGATGCGGCTTAATTGTGGCCGTTCAAATAAGACGGGGCCAGAGGGAAGGGAAATTTGGAGGACAGAGAACTACTCCATTAAAGAATTGGGTGATGGGTAGGGAAAGGATGTTCATTACCAAATACCAAAGCATATGTATCTTGCTTATTATCTCCATGAGTTCTCATTTACGGATCACCATTGCAAAAAATCAATTGAATCAGGTTAATTATGTATGAGACTATTTTCCTTCTTTATTGAAAAAAAAAAACTGGGGTAAATGACTGCTTGCCCATCAAGTTTGTGTTTAATTGCAATCGCATCATTATTTTCAAAACATTACAATCTCATATACAAACTTACAATTTTATTGTAATGTTTAAAAGATGATGTATGAGATTGCAATTGAACACAAACTTAAAAGAACAAATTGTAACTTATCCCAAAAACTAATCTATCTTGGAAATGAATTTCCTTAAAAAATTGAATGATTTAGATCATATAATTACAATGTGGAGTTGCATACCCCAATGGATAGAGTTTGAGCATTTAAACTAAAGATTGGAGGATTCAGGCTACATCACATAATAAGTTATCCATAATAATTTGGTTATGAATTCGTTATAATAAAGTCAAACATAAAATTTCTCACTTTTAAATAAAAATAAATAAAATTAGACCATATTAAGTGGTTTAAAATAAAATAAAAAATCATGAGAACTTGGTTATTTGTCAAAAAAAGAGAAAATTATCAACCTGGTTAATGGCTTGGCTTTTAAACTGGACCACATAAAAAAATCATCAACAAAATACATAAAAGTCGCAGGCAAATACAAAATAATCAAAACCACACGACTGTTCCTGTGTGTCTTCCATGGCTTTCACAGCTGCTCCTCCTCAGGCTTCACACACTATGTTCCTCAGAAGCCCACCAGCAACAACAACTACAAGAGCAAGAACATCAACCACAACAAGAAGAACAAGAAGCCATGTGAGTGTACACGTGCACGCATCTCAGGGGCCGAGCAACCGCGAGAGGGCCCCGCCAGGAGTTGATACAAGAATCCATTGGGAAAATGACGATGAAGGTTGGATTGGAGGAAGCAGCAGCAGGAAAGAGCAGGCGGAGCAAGAGCCGGAGTCGGAGCAGCAGAAGAGTCAGAGGCAGAGCAATCTCTTGGGAGACAAGTTTGCTGACTTGCTCAATGACTCCATTTCTGATTCCCATTACCAGTCAGTCTCTCTTTCTTCTTTTCTCCCTTCCACTCATTTTTAAATTCAATTTCTCTATGTTTTAGTGCTATAATTGTAAATTATTAATTGACGTGGAATTTACACGTAAAATAGATTATCTTTTACCGCTTCCGCTACATTATGGTGGATTGTCATGACGGTTAGGTTATTCCGCATTCCGGATGCAATCTTTGTCTATCCGTTTAATATAGATTAGTGTAAAATATCGCATGTATATAAAAATTCTCAAAGTTACTACATGGAAATTTTTTTCAAGGCTTTGTTGTGTTAGAAAAGTATTTCCTACTATTCAGTTCATATGAGCTCGTTTGACAATGTTTTTAAAACGATAGAAACCATTTTTGGTGAAAATGCTTTTGGAATCTATTCTTAGTAAAAATGCATGTCAATTTTGGAAAAACACTTTATTGCTTCTTGCAAGAAGCACATAACTGATGTTTTTGGCAAAAAGCGCTTTAAGTGCTTTTGAAACCCAAAAAGATTTTTTTTTCAAGCGGGTTCAATCATTTTAAAAGCAATTCCGAACAAGCCGATGAATGATATATTACCCTTTCTCTCTATAGCAATGCAGTATAGTGGGATATCAAACAAATGTAAATTTTTGAGTTTCTTACTACTTAATACTCTTCTGATTCATTGTCAATTGACACCAAAAATATTTTCAGGTTCTTAGGGGTATCTGCAGAAGCTGATTTAGAAGAAATCAAAGCCGCATATCGAAGACTATCCAAAGAGTACCATCCGGACACCACTTCTCTTCCCCTCAAGACTGCGTCCGACAAGTTTGTGAGGCTACGAGAAATTTATGATGTGTTGAGCAACGAAGAGAGCCGTAAGTTTTACAACTGGACCCTCGCTCAAGAGGCTGCAAGCCGCCAAGCGGAAATAATGCGAATGAAGTTGGAGGATCCTTACGTGAAAGCAGTAGAGACGTATAAACCTGTCCCGGACATGGTTGATCGTCTTGGTGGAAAGAACATGGCGCTGGGCGATCAAGCGATGACGGCCCTCACCATCGATGTTTTGATCATCGTTTTTGCTATTTGTTGTATCACATATGTCATCTTCTTCAAAGAGCCATACTACTAGTACTACAAGCTAGCTTGACAATCAAGTAACACAGAAAAAATATACTACAATGTACATTTAAACTGCTTCTTTCTTCGCTCCCCACCTCGTTTTCTTTTCTTCCTTACATGCTCTACCTTTGCTGGAAGATAATAGTTGCAGCAGAGATCATCTCGGTTTTCCTAACTCAACATAGCACGCAAGTGGAAAATTGCCTTAATGTTAGGGTCTTCATCTTCAATTGCGTTTCGAGTTCAAATTCTCTTCCTTTCCTTAATGTAATTAGAGTAGTAGTATCATACAACAAAAACTTAATAAAGACTTAAGGAAACTGTTATTGACACTCTAAAAATTTAATTATGCACTCCTCATTTGGAGTTTAGAGTAGTAGTATTTTTCTTTCTAAATATAAATATTTGGACTGCAAAATAAGAATTTTTGAGTGCCAATAAAAATTTCTTACATAAATTGCAAAAAAAAAAAAAAAAAAAAAAAAAAAAAAATCAACAAAGAGAGAAAAACACCTAAAGGCTAGTAGGTTTATTTGTAGTTGGTTATGAAACATGGATGCTAGGAAGGATTGACCAAAAAAAAGAAATTTGTGGAAATTATATTTTACACCCTCAGGTTTGAGGTGGTTTTCAAAATGGAACATGGGTTCTATTTTTCTTAACATTGGACCATGAGGTTTTGAAATTATATTTGTCTATACCATCCTTATATTTGAACGTCTAAGGGGTCACGCGTCCACCAATCATCAATTTAATGAAGAATAGTCAATTAGATCGGGCATAAAAGACAGGGTAATGCTATTTACACACACCTATTTACCTCCCACACACCCTTTTTAATTTGTGTTCATTGACCTTCTTCAATTCATTTGATCTGAAAGCCGAAATTTAGATGGTATGTGAGTTGTAAAAATGTGTGTGTTGATAGCACTAGCCAAAAGATATATATACACTAAGACGTGGTGGTGGATCAAGAGTGCACAAAACTAACAAGAGAAAGCCTTGACACAAACAAATTTGTGAGATATCCATTTGTTGGTCAAACGATAAACATTCTACATCTTAGTTTCTTCTGCAGTTAACATGGCTGAAAGAATATAAACTTATATCTCTAAACAAACATGATCCCGTTCTCTTTAATGGTATCAAGAACAATCCCAAGCTTACCTTCAATCCGTTCACCTTTTCGGGCCTCATAAGACAATGCATATACATCAGCTTCCTTGGACCGCTCAGCAATAAGCCGCCCTATAACTCTGCACGCGTTGTGATCTGTGAGTGAAGGTAAGTTGCTCCGAAGATCCTTGGCATTGGTGGTAGCAACTGATATCACTTTGCTGGTTCCCCGATGCATTACTTTTGCGTGGATAAATTTTTTCGAAAAGAAAACATTTAGTAAGAATGGCCTCATATACATATCAGTCTTCTGTTTCCAGGATTTCCTGTTAGGCTTCTTTGCAGCTTCACCTCGAGATCTCCGGGTCCATGCAGCTCGAACAACAGAATTCTAAAATCACAGGTAAACAGAAAGTGAGTGTGAGAGAAAGATGCCCAAAAACAACAGGAAGAGATTGTCCAAACAGAAGTGCAAGGATTAGTAAGAAAGGACTTGGCACATGACAAATATATACCACAACTGCCCGACTTCCAAAGATTTTTTCCTCGGCTTTGAATTACATTGAAGAACCTTCAAAATTTTCTTTCGCCGAGTCAGGAAAGGGATAATCAGCAGTATATATATGCTGCTGGTAGACCCTTCCACACAAAGGTTTTGCTGGATAGAGGATTTTTGGTAGTACGGAGTTAATTGAGTTTACCAAGTTTAGACACAAGATTCTAGTGACATATAAACCAAGACAATCCTTCCTTGTTTACAAGAAAAAGAAAATTGGATGCATCATAGACGATAGTTTTGATACCAAGTATCCGACTAATCGTTTTCTCCTCAGTTAGATGTCACTACTCATACAACCACAATTTTAAGTTGGCTTTTCAGCCAAAATGGTCCCTGGAATTGGCATAACTCCTCACTTTGGTCCATGCCATTGAAAATCGATATTTGTCAAACCAGCCTCTCCACTTAACGAGGATATTGACAGATTTTTCATGAAACGACCATAATGATTTAAGGTGGAGAACCTCAAGGACTACTTCTATCAATTTTCAATGTCATGGACCAAAGTTAGGAGTTAGCCAATCTCAGGGACCATTTTGACTGAAAAAAAATTTGAAGTTCCACCATTATTGGGGGTGATTCCTTCCTCACTTGCAAAATCTACTCTTATCCAGAAATCAAAATTGAAATTGATATCTTCCTTCCTTTATCTAAACTCTAAAGAGATAAGGAGGAATTTGAAGAAGAAAGTGAGTTACTGTATTTGGTATTGAAAATTGGGAGAATAAGTGAGTGAGTGTGTTGCTTACCCTGCTCAGTGCGGGAGCGGGAGGGTCTGCTATGGAGATGTTAATCAGAGGAAAGGAAGAAACCCATGAAAGCTGAGTCGACCGAGTTGGAAGCAACCCGGAGGAGGAGAGGCTGAGCGACCCACACACGCTTGATGGAGGAGCCGCTGAACAAGATATTATTGTCACCATCTCTCGGCACTCTCGCACTGCAACGCAGCAGCCTAATGGCTAATGTTTCTCTACTTGTTCAGAAACATACTGGGGAGAAGGAGCCGTCTTTATTAAAAAAACAAAAACTGAAAAAACCGGGTTCAACCCGGTCACATCGACCAAACTAAACCAATTTGAGCAGTTGTTGCCACTTGCTAGTATTATAGCCTAATGGAAATAATGGAAATGTGATGCGGAAGTCCGTATCACGGAGTAATCTAGTGGAAATGTGATGTGGACTTCCGCATCACAGAGTCGAAAACGGAAATGGCAAGATGCAAAGTGAGTCGAAAGGCTTCTGTTTCCGTACTTGATTGGGGGGCTTTTGGGCTCCTCCTAATCTTATTCATAATTGGGAAGGGGTTCGAACCCCATTTTCTCTAGCATGCAAGTGGAACAGATAGTTGAAACATTCTTTCAAATCTTGTAGATAACGAATTTAATACTAAATTAGACTGCCAATTGTGTGACTTAGAAAAACTCTCCATCTCCCCTTAATGTAAAAATATCAATGTACTCCAAAAAAAAAAAAAAAAAAAAAAAACTCGCAAATTTTGATTCGACCCTCTACAAATGACGATTTCAATACCTTATTACTAAGATACTTACATTTCCATTGATAAATTGTTCCCCTTGAGCGTAATGTATCTTCACCGTATAAATTTAATAATTAATTAATGTTCGTACAAGATTGTATAGAATAATGCTGATATAGTATCACAAATTTGTTCTTCTTTCTCCTAAATAGTATTCAGAGGTCGTACGACATGCCAACTCAAACAGTGTAATCCGGACTACCTTTCCAAAACAACAGAACCTAAACACTCGAGCTCTTTGACGATGAACGGATCCAGAGACCATCAAAATTTCCTACTATACATCAGAGTATTCAGATTCGTATCCACAATGAACTTCCATTTTCGTAGTGGAATAATGTTTAAACCACATCCAATACATAGGGATGACTCAATGCTCGTCACCGTCCTCTTGTGATCGCAACCAGGAGAGGTACTCAGACTCCTGGGCTGACCGATTTGGTGGAGTTACCCTTTTCCGAACCAACATTGGTATGTCGGGGCACTGTCTCTTACGCCCACCCCTTGGCCTTGACCGGAATTGCTCATCAGCCTCTTCAAAATCCCCCTGAAACTCAAAGCAATTGATGTCATCCATGTGAATAGATATTGTAACACTGCCTTAACATATACTTGCTCAAAAGAAAATGCAAAAATGCAACACATGAGGGAATTGAAGATTCAAGAGCAAATCTTACATGGGTATAGACATGACATCCAGTCTTCTCATGGTTATCTCTCACATGCTTGTATGCAAATCTCATGCCACAACCCGAGAAGCTACAGACAAAAGGTTTATGCTCAAGGTGTACCGCTTTCACATGTTTATAGAGATTCGATTTCTGCATACATGATAAAACCAAATGTCAACACAGAATTCTACACAATATTTTGCATATGAAAATAACAAAATTTATTGGTCAACAATCATTTTATGATCAATCTATTCACCGGTATAAATAATATTTTTCCTTGTTCACCGATCACTTGACTAAAAGAAATCATGTTATAAAAGATCTCTCTCTTTTCAAAGTTAGTCAACGACTTACAGTTGTAAATGTGCGAAGACAACCCTTATAATCACATTTAATTCTTTCTATTGAACTTCTCTCTTCATGTGTGAGAAGATGCCTTTTCATATTTTGTCTCAGCTGCTTGGCCCCACATATCTCGCAGGTAGTATGTTGGTGGCAGGACTGGATATGGACCTTAAGGCATTGATCATTGGTAAAGTGTTTCATACAGCCTGGTTCAAAGCAGAATGCCTCCACTGTGTCTAGCTTAACTGCATTACGGAAGGATATCATCAGCGGTTAGGATAACACCAACACATTTTCTCATTTTGAAGCAAAAAAAAGTGTATCTATATGTATCTGCATTATTTCATTGCATTCACAAACAACCCACTACAAAACTTAAAAAGAAAAATAGAATTTGGAAACAAAAGCTACCATGGGATTCCTCATGCTTCCGCAGCCTTGAAGCATATCTAAACTCCTTTCCACAACCAATTTCCTGGCATACATGCTGCTTCTGCACTCCACCATCAGCTGAAGGGCAATCCTCAATGTGAAGTTCATTGACATGCCTCTTAATGTTACCTTGGAAGACAAATTCACGATTGCAGTTCTCAACTGGACACTTAAAAAGTTTCCCTTGGTGCTGAAGGAGATGGCGGGTCAAGTGGTCCTTTCGTCTGTAGCTGGAATGGCAGTCATCCACTGAACAAATGTATGGCCTCTGAAATCAATAAGCTAAAATAAATTGATGAACTCATAAAAATAATTTCAGAATACACTCGAACAGTCATCAAACCTCAAACCAACCAGTGCGTGACTCAGGTTTGCTTGATGGAGCTTCACAGGAGGTCTCCCACCTGGTACTAGTCCATCAAGTCTGAACCTTATCGCATTTTGGAGTTCTTTGTGTGGGATCCAATGCTTCACGCTATCCATTGTATTTTTTTAATAAATGTTGATTCCTGCAAAACTTATATCTTTAAACAATTCAATTGATGCAAAGATTACACAAACTTCATCCAGAAATTGCAGACAGCTATACGCATAATTAGCTGTTAAATGCGTCATCAGACTCATATCATATCATGCTGATACAAATATACATTAAAACCTGCTGCCGGTTTACTGACAACTCGTGAGAGAATAACACAATCTCTCGAACGATTTCATCGCAAGTAGTACATGGAAGATTTATAGTCAGCTTGTTTTAATCAGGCGAGACCTATAGATAAAAGCAAACAATACCTCAAGGGAATGACTTTGCAGGTGCTGCTTGAGATGTGCAGGTTTCTTGAAAGTGGTACCACATTCTTCACAAGTATTGGAATTTTCTTCCCCAACCTCCCCACCTCCATCACCGTCAGCCATTTCCATCTCCTCCTGCATCAAAAATTCAAAAAATTAAAAACTTTAACAGACCCAACTTGTAATTTTGGTTTTAGAGGCAAAACAAAGTGAACCCACAACAGAAAAGCTGTCAAAAATAAAGACCCAATTCATCAAAATTCATAATTCGACCGAAAAGAATCAAGATTAAGGAAGACGAAGAAGGAGTAAAAACCTTGTGGTGTGAGAGAATGTGAGAAGCGATGAGAGACTTCTTGGACCTGCAGATGCCACAGTAGTCGCAGTAATGCCGCCTTATGTCTCTGACAATAGGCCCCTCCTTCTCTCCTGCCCCTTTATCCATCTTCACCACGGCGTTCGGGGTTTGGAGTTTGGGGACTGACTGGTTTCTAAAAGGCAATGAGCGCAGTCTTTACATTAGGGTTTTCGTACCTTCATATTGTCGATTCTACCCTTTTCAGTTGAACTTGGATTTGACAATTCTTTACTTTCCTTAATGGGCTTTCCTTGCTGGACCAGTCCAGTATGTGAAAACGGCCGATTATATTGGGGGCCGCTGTTAAGACCCCGTACGGTTGCGTTTTGAAAAACGATTTTTTAATCTGTTTTGTTCTACATTTAGGATTTTGCAGTTTTATGATTTGAGAATGCATTTGATAGTTTATTCCGATAATGATACTTGAGAAAAAATTATATTGAAAATATCTGGTTTTAACATCAAAAATATCAGAAAAATAATAAATTAGTGTTTGTTAGTGTTGACCCTAGAAACTACAAAGCCTACGTGGCGCGCAGGCCGAGTAATTAATGAGCTAACTACGTCCTTCGGTGAATGCGGGGCGTGCCAACTCGTCGGCCGAGCTCGGCCGAGGAGTAAATTTGTTGATGTTGCGTTGGGTCGCGCTACTGACTTCTGCGTCTTGCGATTGCGGCCGAGAAAGGAACACGTCTCGACCTCTTGGGCCTCAAACCTGAAGACAAGGTTACTATTCTTACGAAGTTCAATATTAAATTCGGCTTTCAATGTGCCGAATGTAATAACTGTAACACCTCACTTTGCCGAGAAGGCTGATGAGATGACCTCGACCAATAAGGATTTAGAAATCCTTCTCGACCGAGACTTGGATAGATAATCAATCGTTCTCGCCGCAGTGCTGTTGATGCCAACGGAAGATACTGCGAGACCGACTGATTCTACGGTGACAGAGCTATCTATGCCGACTTAAGATATCACCGGTTGCTTCCACAGTGCTGTTGATGCCAACGGAAGATGTGTCAGTGAAAAAAGGAAAAAGAAAAATCACAAGTTGTGAGAATTTGCGCAGGGCAATTTTGTATTGATTTGCAGGCCTCTGAATGGTGTGCAACCCTCCCTACTTATAGTGAAAGTTACACCCGTCCGCTTGATACTCTTGGAGAGTCCTAATTGGACTCTGTCTTGTGGAGTTGCATCTGGTTGTACATTTTTCTTATATCCTTTAGCCAAGGATCATATCCCTTTATGCCAATAAGCTTCCCGCCTTGAAATATGCCAATAATATGCATGTATGGCTGACCAACGCCAATCATGCGGCTGATTAAATCCAAATTGGCATCCTTATCTTTATGCATGCGCAAAAATCCATACCAATCCATAACCATTCGCCAATAATCAGTAATGCATTAGGATTCTAATGCCCCACCATCCTACGAATAAATTGGGGTTTTAGATAAAAACTATGTTTAATAAATTATGATTAAAATCCCAACATTATCTCAATCATAATTTATTTCAACCACTTTGTCGTTCAACGGCCTAAAACCCTGCTCATCCGACGGCCTTGATTGCTCGAGCCGATATTGTAAAAATGGGTCCAAACAGTTAGTAAATACTTTTGTAAAATAAATTTTAAGATGACGCGGTAAAGTGCTGGTGGCAACAACGAGGTAAGAGGCAATGTTGGTGGGACCGATGGTGGTGGTGGCAATAGCAATTGTGGTACATGGTGGTTGTGTTAACGAAAGTTGTGAGGCATGATTGTGGTAACGTTGGTTTGAGAGGTGGTGAGGATCATGGTGTTAAGGATCGTGGAAAATGTGGTGGCAGTAGCAGCGGTGGCGACAGTGGTGGTGAGACAGTAGAGATGGTGGTGAATGAATGGTTGTACAGAGAGAAAAAATTAAGGGAAATACGATTATGAAAAAGACTAAAGCTAAGGAGGCTCAAATGTAAATTTGACGGACATTGGCTATATTAAAATCAACATGAAACCCACATATTTATTTACAACTTTCTTATTTACATCCATGAATTAGAGCATCCAAAATTTGAGATACTCTAAATGTGAAGCTTTGGCCTCACTTGGAAATCATACAGTATTCTCAAGACAAGAAAAATGCTTAATATTTGGAAAACAAAAAATTAAAAAAAATTAAAAAATAAAAAGAAAGTGTATTATATTTCTTTCACCTAAAACCACAGCCGCACACTGACACTGTCATCAAATCAAATCAGGTTTGGCATCTCCGTTCCCGTGATTGCAGCCAGCCGCCCGCCCCTCCCACGCGCTCTTCTTTATTATCCCCTCGCTCTCATTCCCCCACCCACCCAAAACCTCATCTCCCACTGACACTCTCTCTCTCTCTCTCTCATGGTACGTAATCAGTAATGTCGCCGCCTCCTCAGCTCCCGCGATCAGATCTCGACTCCCCTCTCTCCCCCAATCTCTAGAACCCGAGTTCTCTGCTCCTCAATGCACGGCTACAGCCGGCTCGGCAATCCCCGAGCCGCGGGGTCCCCGCCGTCCTCCCCCCGCTGCCGCCACGGCCGCAACAAGAACGCCGCCGGCCGCCGAGGGCCCAAGCAGAGCATTCTGGAGAAGGTTGTGGTCTTGCTCATCTCGGTCGTTTTTAAGCGCCGCGCCGTGCTTTTGTTCGCGCCATTGTTGTACCTTTCGGGGATGTTGCTGTATATGGGCACCGTGAACTTTGATGTAGTTAGCTTGAAAAATGCGGTTGTTGTGGTTAGTAAGCGGTCGCCTCCGGGCTCAGTGTATAGGAGCCCTCAGGTTTTTCACAAGCTTTGGCCTCATATGCAGGCTGAGAGCAATCACACTCACAATTTGGTGAGTGAATTCTTGCAAACTTTCGATTCGATTCCATTGGGTGGGGGATTCTAAGTGCACCATTTTGTTCTCTATCTGGTAAATTCATGGCAAATTTAGAGCAGTATACCAATCTATGTGCATGCTTGTGTTAAGTTTGGGGTTTACTACTGATTTGGGTAAATTTGATCGGACTGTACTAGTATTGAAAAGGAACACATAGTTTAATCGGAACACGGAAAAGGACGGTGTGCTCATCAATCGAATCACTCTTGGTATATAAATGTAATGTCTTTATATGAAATCGCTGTGATAGGTTGCTCTCTAGAGTAACTTCTTATGGGGGCTCACTTAGGTAGTTACTTATGCACTTCTGCAAATTTGTTGGTTACAGACAATGTGAATTGACTGTATGCTGATATGAAAACGATGCAGTTGATGTCGGTGTGGAATTCAAAAGTGCGGCAAGTTTGGAAGCCTTGTATTAGCAACGATATTTCAAATGAAGGTTTGGAATTTTCATTTGAAAATCACAATTAAACTGAGAATTATGTATTTAAAATATCGAATGGATACATTTATCATACTTGCTACCCAGAATTTTCTTTTTCAAACTCAGCATGTGGTGGGTTTTGCAGACTGTTACCAATACACACTAAACTGCACTTTCGAATTGTTTAGAGATGATGCCTCAGAATTAATATGGATTGCAAATGCCCGTAAAGAGTCTATCACCACACATACTTGATAAATGGTGGAGTGGGTGCATAAAAGTACTAAACAGGATTTGTTCGAAAATGAAAACACCCTGCCACCTGCTGTTGTGAGCACACAACTACACACACATGTTTCCCAAGACATTATACTTCAGCTACACACCATTTTAACACCATGTTTATGCCGTGTGGCAAAGTACTTAATAAAAAGTGTTTGAAACAAAATATGGTATGGTTTCAGTAAGTTAACTTGGGAGGAATTTTAAATCTAAATTTCTTTTATTCTGATTATTGGAAAATAGAATGAATAATTATGTGGTTGTTAAAAACTAAATGAATAACTAAGTGCTGTGTTTTAAATATTTGGACGGATTACAGGACTACCAAAGTCAAATGGTTTCTTTATAATTGAAGCAAATGGTGGATTGAACCAGCAACGTTTGTCGGTAGGTGTGATTACATGTAACTGGAATTCATTTTCTTGATTGGTATGGCTTTGTTGATTTATTATCAATTTTTCTTGGACTTGGGTGGCTGCCATGGTATCTGTGTGTTGCAGTTGGATTCTTTTTTTAATTGGTTGGGTGGCTTTGAATGCATTTTGTCATTGTTTTTGTGATTTTGATTTTTGCATAAAGATATCAGTCACCGAGTTGCTTTGAATTTGAACCAGGCATTCGAACAAGAATCTACATGATCAATTCCCTAAATATCAGTCTGCCAACATAACATTCTGGACTGTCCACCAAACTTACATTTTCCTTTATATACATGTGTATTTCAACTCATTTGTTTATATGATATTCATGCGAGACCAAAGCCATCCCTGTTATTGTAATTTTCAGTGTTCAATTGTTATTTGTTCCATCAAATTACATTTGGACTTGGACAAAAGGATTCTGCATGAAATTCATGAATAGCTGACAATAGAAACTTGTGTCAAAAAACATGTCTTGTGGATCCGATTTTTCCTTTCTTTTTCTCTGACAGTTTTCTTCATGGCCTCAATAGATTTGTGATGCAGTTGCCGTGGCTGGACTATTGAATGCAACGCTTCTGATTCCAATTTTCCATCTAAATAGTGTCTGGAAAGACTCGAGGTGATTACTAGATTTTTGTACCATTAAGATTCTGATCTAATCATCATCAGCTGCATTACCACATACGTGTAGATTTTTATTTTATTCATCGTTCTAAATAGTTTAGCTTGATTAGTTCAGAAAGGTATAACTAGGTTAACTTAATTTCTACATCAGCCACGACAAGTTGACAACTGCAAAAAGCCTTATCCAAACTATTTGGTTAGACATGAATTGCCAAATTTTGGCTGATGCACATTTTTGAATAAAAATAAAACTTAGCAAGTGGGAATTCTTCGTTTGAAGTCTGTGTAGGCTGCAAGTGAGGGAGTTATTCTCACTGTGATGAAAAAGGCCCACTTGTTCTTCAATGTAACCAATGGCAATAGACTAAACTATTAAATATTAGAAAACTTAGAAACACACAAGAATTATACTAGTTCGGCAGAACTTTTGCCTACGTCCA